TTTGTCAAGGGAAAAGCACCTCTCCTTGCCAGTTTTTAAGTGAAAACTTTTCTTATTGCCTTTAACCCTGTCACTCCCACAAGTGAAATACAGATGAAGTAGAAATGCAGCCAGGATGCCAAACAACTGAGTAGCCTTCATTCCCTGGATGAAAAAAAAAGTGTCTTCTGCCTCTTTCTTGGTCTCCTTCCTTTTGAGACTTTTCCCAGGGCAGCAATGCTCATCATGCATCCTCAGGGCTGCCAGTTCTTGCGACAAAGGGTTACGAGAGCTAAAACCCTACCCATTTGCTGGAGCTGTAGAAAGCAGCTCTCACCTCTTTTATACAGTATTTTCCTTGAAAACAGACATGCTAAAAATGCTTACCCCAGTGAGAATGTGCCTGTGTGTTTACACAAGTATATATGTATGTATGTATATATATATATATACACACATATATATTTGGTTACTAGTAGTAAAAGGGACAATTAATCATGCTCTGGACTGATTGTTTTTAATACTGAAAGGCTATTAATCAGGAAAATGTTGCCTTTTGAACAAGATGTTTATACAGTCAACACTATGGATTGTTTTTTTTCCCCCTGGTGCTAAGCTGCCTGCTAATGCAGAGCGGAAGTCGGGTTTATAATCTCTTACATTAGAACTTCATGCTCCAAGTTCGACAACAATTTTGGCTGGAATTTGGAAGGAATGCATGGGAGTTGATGCCTGGTTCTCTTAGATTTCAAGGGGACTTGGGTGTTCAAACCCAAAATCTCTGGAAGCATTTACAAGCCTAAAAGACAGAAACAGGCATCATGTGCAAATTTCAAAAACACCCCCTCCTGCTGAAAAAAACCCAAGGGGCATCTAATTTCACTTTAATGTAACTAAAAGACTTTTAAAATCTGTCCCTAAATCTCTTGCGAGCCTTTGCAAATTTGTCCTTGGAGCCTTTCAGCCTGAAAGTTGCTTTTAGAGAAGGAATAGTATAGCAAATTTTAATCCAAACTTTTATTTCCCACTGGAGAGAATGGCTCATATCCTGTAGTGAGTGGGAGGCCAGCGGAAAAAATAGAGGGGGGAACTATGGTGGGAGTGAGAGGGTGCAGAGAGGCAGCTGGGGCTGGATCAGCAGCAGGAGGCAGGAAAAGGGATGCTGGCAGCTGCAGGGTAAGCACGGCAGGACTAGGGGAGCCACAGCAGCCCAGGAAACCATGTCTTGGCTTGAAGCAAAGCTCCAGGCTGATCCGGAGGGCAGGCACTAAGGGCTGGCCCTGGGAGGAAGGAGAGGATGAGATTGAAATCCTGCACAGGCAGAGGCTGACGACACCAGGGAGAGCAGTGGGACAAACACACGACATCTTGGCACAGGCAGAATTTGCTGTGTATCCCAGCAAAGTATGGACACAGACTCTAGTGGTTTTGTTTCAGCGTCCATGCTAGGAGCTATTTCACAGCCTGTGAAGCTGATGGGAATAGGAATCATCCATCTGTCTGTGCTCTCGTGTGCATCCCCTTAGCAGGGTTTTGACTCCTGGGGTGTATGGCTTTCCCTGTCACCCTGTGTTGCTGTCACAGGATTCCACTTCCTCCCTTTCCTCCTGGGAGCTTCTCTCAGCTAATTAAATTTGAGACTGTCAAGGAGCCCTGTTCCCCCTCAGCTCCCCCAGCTGCCCAGCCAGCAGGGCTCCAGAGCAGGGCACCCTCGGCAGGCAGCACCCAGAGTGGGCAGCCCCTCTCTGAACACCATCCTGCACCCCTGATCAGCCCCGGAGAAGAGCTCAGGAGGAGAAAGTGGGAAGGGACAGCAGTGAGAGGAGGTGAGACAGGAGCTAGTCTCTGGTGGTACTAATCCCTCCATAGCTGGTGCCTTCTCACAAAAAACAAACTTTGAATGAGGTGGGACAGGGACCTTTACCTGCCTCAGGATGAGGAAAAGGCACACAGCAAAATCAGAGTAGAAAGCCTCAGATAACTGATGGGCTTGCCCCACTCAGATCTGTGTTTAAGTTAATCTCCATATTTGAAGAGAAACACGTGGTGTGAAGAGATTGCTTCTTAAAAAAACAAATGGAGAAACAATATTTCCTTTTAGGGAACCACTTAATTGTAGGGGTGATTGCAGGTGGCACAGCACTTATCTGGGAAGATACTCCTCTCTTTTTATAAACTTTCATTTCACTCGTCTCCTTCATCACCATCTCAGCAGCGAGGCACAGTGCTGAAGTCTGTGAGGGGAGACAGAATTGCAGGGGACAGCTGCCATCATTTTTAGAGTGATTGGGAGTCAAATAACATGATTTTCCTCACTGGTGATTTTGAACAAGCAATGCACATCCCTTTGCGGAGCTCTTTGTCACAAGACCTAGCGGGACAGAGATTGAGGTTTAACAGTAGATATTCATTGCAAGAGGTTTGCAAGGAATACAATCCCTTGCACTTCAGTTTTTAAATCAACCTTTTTTTCTTTTTTTTTTTTTTTTTTGAGTGAGGGAAGTTTTCCTCGGGAGCAGCTACTTGTGCAGTTCTGTGGCATTATCTTTGAAGGATGCTGCTATGGCAAGGCTGACCAACTATGAGAAACATCACCTGAATCCAGCAGGAAAACTCCTCTATACAAGCCTCTCGATGGGAGCAGCTTTCCACGTTGCTGCAGTCCACAGCAACAGAGGTGGAAGCAGAAAAGGCTGCTCAGAGAGAGGTGTCCTACCTTTGCAACCTGGCAGGCAGCTCCCTACCAGCACCCTCCCACGATAGTGCCCGGGGCTGCAATCGCAGCAAAGTCCCTCAGCCAAGCCTCCCTCAGTCCCCCTCATGTCTTGCTGCTATCAGGGTAATCTCAGCAATGAGGAAGAGAGGTCCAGTTGAGAGGCAGCTGCTTGCTCCTGAAATCCTACCAAAAAAAACCCCAGTTTGACGTCCTGCCAACACAGCCCCCTTTACTCCACCATTCATCTCAATCTCTTCCCATGACATAGGGTGATCTTAGGGAAATGCAGCCAGGGGTATCCTGAAGGGCCTCTGACCACTGGCATTCCTATGGGAAAGGGAACTATTTGAATTAATCTGAAATTCCCCTCAAAACTCATAGTCGTAGGTCCAAGCAAACTGTTGTAACAGAGTAAAAATGTACAGGTTGGTATGTCCATACACGTATGTGGGAGTGGAGAAAATTGTCTTTCACATCATTCTGACATACATGGAGATCACTCTGCTGAAATCCCTGGAAATTCCCTTTGTTAAAAAAAACGGTAGAAGGCTCAGGCCCAGTGTTTCTGTGAACACACCCCTAAGGCAGCACAGCTCATCAGGACTCTAGTGCCAACCTTTTATTGTACACTTTCTCTTCCATTCAGTCCAAATATAATCTGGAAATCTCAAATGCTAGTTATCTCAGGGGGAGAAGAGAGAAATCAAGGTTAGTCCTTCACTGGTGTTTGTCTAAAGAAAACCTGCGACACATGAAAACCCAAAAAAGACAATTAAAAAATCAATAAAAGCTCTATTTAGTGTCAAGTGAGGAACTAATCATGAACCAAAAGAAACAATTTTATAAAACAACATGACCTAGTACCTCTTAAAATCATTATTAAAAAGAAAGCTACATTCCTATCTGCCCCAAGGGGTTTTTTTCCCTTATTAAACCCTGAACACATCTAAGACAGATGCATTTCCCCCCCACACCAGCACTGAGCACAGGGGATGGATGCTGTTTCTCAACAGACAACTTGTTGGTACCCTCTCACAGCCACTGCACCACTGGAATTCACCTGATGACACCAGAAACCAAACTCAGACATTAGACCAAATCTTTATTCTGTGGTCTACTTTTTCTCAGTTACAATGTTGTAAATCGAGGGTTTAAACTGATCCCAATCTGCTCAGAGGCACTGGAAGGCTCTGGATTAATATCAAGCACAGGCATCTGCCTCCTGCTGTTTCTATGTCTGTGGTATCAATAGTGATTTTGAAAATTATTATTTCCATACAGGCTATAATGACTTACAAGGAATAGTTACAGCCTGTTGTGCAAATGTGAACAACACTCGCTTTTTTAAAACGTGGATTTTTCATACGACAGGAACTAATGGCCCTTTCAGAGCAGTTATGGTCTATCTTGTCAATTTGGTTTCTATTCATGCATGCTAAGTGAATTTTTATAGCCAAACTAGGAGTCCTTAAAAATGAGCCTTATACTGGAAATGCAGATGTGACATACTGTGAGTTGTGCTAGGAGAGCATCCCTGCCCCTGGGGAGCCAGAGCCAGTAATCAGAATTCCCTTTCCCTGTGCACATAACATGACTTGCAGGCACTCTTTCATCTGCACTGAGAGGCAGGAAGGAGAGGCAGAATTAGCCCCTCATTACAATAATGTTTCTCACACTTTCTCCAGCTATTCTCTGCAGGCATTAGTAGAGAGGCCCTGGCTGCCAGAATTGCTGAAAACCTACATCTCCAGTTAAAAGAAATCAGAGAGCAGGGTGCTCAGTGGCTCTGAAAAATCACAGCCACAGAGCTTTAAACAAATGCTTTTATACCATTAAAATATAAATATATAGACTCGCCTTAACTTTACTCTCTACTGTGAGTGCTTTGTTGTGAAAGAAAATTGTATATTTTCCAGACTATCTGATTTCTCTTACGGCTTCACCACTATAAACTGTACTGCATATGTACATCAATATATTTACCTGCCTGCTTCACAGCTGGACAGAAAATGAAGCCATCTCAATCATCTTCACATTCAGCAGTAGAGAAAACTGACTTTTTCCCTCACTTGATGCCAATTAAAATGCAAAATGTGGATAATCTGATCTCCACTAAATATTCCAATCCCCTCCATAGCACAGGGTGGATATACTTCCGTACTCACTGGCAACCTGAACCTTTTCTAAGACTGGAAAAAGCAAGAGAATAGAGACTGTACAATCTTATTACTTATTTATTCAGAATGTTGTAGCCGTGCCTCCCTTCATCTCTTGGCTCCTTACCCAAAACCTGTGTAATGAGCAACATCACAGGACCTGACTACCAGCAGACGCGACACCTCCACTAAAATGAATGCATTTATACTGATTTATGGCAGCTGAGGAGCTGCCACAGCACATCCAGGGAATACCTATCTCTCCAGAAAAAAAGATACACCTCTGACAATGTGTTCCTGAGGTATTTCTCACAGATCCCATGCCTTAGTGGAGTAGGAGCCACCTCCCACCCCAGCTTCTAATCTTGTCTCCATTGCTGCACCGAGTGCCTGACCACCTTGTCCTCATCATAGAGGCTCTCCTCTGAAAAGGCGTGGAGCCAAACCTGGCATGAACCGATCAGATATGTACAAAGGAAAATCTTGACAGCATCTGTGAACAGAGTTTAGGAGAAAGGAACAAAATAATACCACATATGTTAACAGATTGAAATGGTAGCTATGGTGACCACGGACAGACAAAGAACAAACCATTTTGACTGAATTCAGCGAATTCTTTCTGGCAACAAACTGCAAGTATAAGGCAAACTTTTAAAAATCCCTAATGAAATCATTATAACAAATCCATTTAGCTCTGTTTGGTGTGTTTGCTTTTTAAATTTCCATTGCAGCTATTACATTAAACCTATTAATCATTGATGTAGTCAAATAATTTCCACCAACTAAAAATAGGGATTTTCTCACTGTAAAAATAAATAAATAAATAAATAAATAAATTGCATTTTCAAGACAAAAAATTAAAAGCAAGGAATAGTTATTGTAAAATGGCAGGCATTCATAATTCAGAGCATTTTCTAGTACATGAGAGAGTGTCTGGGTTTTGTAGAATAAAGGCTTGTTTATGAAAGTTGGATCACTTTCCCTATCCTGATATGCAGTGTAGCTATGGAAAATGACAGTCCTGTTTATTGTGTATCACAGTGTCAAACATCTCAGAGTCTCTTTCCTCCAGGGTGCCCATTTTTTTTCAGCCCTTTGGAGGAGCTGTCCCTCAGTGCTCTCCCATTGAGGGCTGGCCAGTTGTGCCAAGGGGAATTGGGCTGAGGACAACGTGGGGGAGCACAGAGCTGAGTTATCGAGGGGCAGAAAAGCTGCCTCCTTAGAACCAGCACTGGAGATAGCTGGGAGATGGGGAAGATTACTCCAGTGCCAGCACAGCATAAGGCTGCTCAAAATGCTGCACAGCTGCTTGCAAACTCCCACCCCAGGAGGCTTGCAGGGGCTGGAGGAGGCTCCACAGGGAATGTCACGATGGAGACTCCAGCATGTCACCCGCTGTGGAGCATCCCAGGCACACCTTGGTGGACACCCCACTGCCTGCTCTGTTTTAGTCTGGAGATTGATTCAACAACCAAAACAGATGATGCTGCCCCAGCACCCCATCCCTTCCCTCAGCTGCACTCGCTGGGTATAGTTTCACAGCACAACACAAAATCCTAATTCTAACCTGAAGTTAGAAGTCTTACTTCTAACCAGAAGAACTACTGTCATTTCCCTGTCTTGTTAATATTTAACTCAGTGTGTTTGGTCCTTTCTGCAGACTGTACAATTCCTAACAAGATGGATTTGCAATGTAGCCGTGCTTTTGATGCTCCAGGAGCAGTAACTTCAGATTTCTGCAGTGCACGGACACTCTCAACTCTACTCTCTCATTATCTGCACAAGTTAATTGTTCTTTAAAAAACAAAACAAAACAAAAAAAGCAAACTAGCAAGAAGTGCCCACCAGTCAAATGCCACTATCTGTTTGATGACTGAGGCTCTGGCTCAGCCTTCTGTCAATTAAATTAAGTTCCCAGCTATGCCATCGCTGCCTGCGTGACAAAAGGCACTTCACTGGCTGGCTCTGCTCTTCAGTTTCCTGTACACTAAAACGGGACCAAGTTTAAGGCCTTTCACTTCTGCCTAGCATGGCCCTTCCTTATATTCTCCACCCACACACTTCACTTTTACTCTTGCCAGCACATAAGGCAGGTCCTCCGGGACTGTGCCTGGCTCTGTATGGGTCCCCCGAGAGCAGAGCTGAGCGAGGGTGAGCACATGTGCTCCCTGTCTTTTGTAGAGGGATAGCCAGAGGAATGAGCATTCACTCCACACAGCCTCACCTGCTCAAGCTGTTTGCTTTAGCCGTGGCTCGAGTATGGCAGGAGCACACGGAGTGGGGGGAAGAGGGGAAAAAATTAGTGCCTTTTCTTTTGGTATTGCCTGGAAACAGTAAAGAAACAGTTACTTTGATTTTATGTGCAGTAAACCCTCACTAGATGGCTCCTTACAGCAAGTAAATATATTCCCCACAGAAAGAACACTGATGTGGCATAATCTGTGTGAGAGCCGAGGTAGCGTGATGCTAACGGAGCTTTATCGCTGGCTGAGCGTTTTCCATGGAAAAGCAGTGTCTGACATGGGGTGTGTGGGTGAATTATGACTTACGAATGGCATCACTCCACGAGTCATGAACTGTGAGTCACGTGGGCACGGGTGTCTCAGGCACGTCAGAAATGCCACTTGCCCTTTTCTGTAGGTTTTTATGTTAATCCGTTTCACATTCAACTTTCTAATTCAGAAAGCAGAACTGGGTTGCAGTCAAGGGTACCAGCAGAGGAGATCCTGGGGGGGAAAACAGCAAAGGTAATAGATGGTATTAAGCCAGAAACCCCAAATGTCATGTAATAACTCCTAAAACAAAGAAGCCATGCTGGCTTCTGAAATGCCCCCCCCATTACCATCGCAAGAACATGTTATTTGTAATATGTGTATTGGCAGGATGTTCTGGGCAGAAGAGCAAAAAGAAATGAGCTGTCATCTGCAGTTAACCTCTCATTCATACATCACTGTGTGCACTCAGTGGTTCAAGGTTATGCAAGTTGATTGTGCCCTCATTAATGAGCAGTGTTAATTGGTGTCTATCCTGCTTTGAGATAAACATATGTATATTATGTTAAAAGTACTGCAGGCTGTGAAGGAGCTGTAAGATATACAAATATGTATGGGCCCTGCATAGAGAGCTACAGGGAGAAGTTGTGTTGTGAAATGCTAGGACTGATTTAAATCCACTGGTGATTTCAACCTGGGCAGCCCAAGTCCCCGTAAGCCAGCCTGGCGCTGGCTCAAGGGCCGGGTAACTTCTGCTGGCAGAGCTCTGACACCATCACTTGGCTCCCTGCTCTGGCTCTTGTTGCACCCCCGAGCATTCTGCCTACAGCCCACTTTTCAAGGTGAATTAGCAGTGATTTTAGTTTCCCTTAAACCCCCAGGCTGTAAGCTCTGGCCATCACAGCTCGCAGATGATTTAACTGCCATGGGGTCGGGGCAAGCAGACACAGTGGAAGATATTGTCCATCCCCATATAAACTGCCCCTGCTCAGGAGTCAGTGGCAAGGGAGCTAGGTTGGCTGCTGGTCTGTCTGTCAGCAGCCCCAAAGGCTTTATTCAGCCTCTTTTCTCTCACTTTTCCCTCTGCACATGTGCTGGCATGGTGCTAACTTGGAATGAGCTCAAGTACACAGACTCATGAGCCTCACCTCTCCTCATGAGGGACAGAAATCAAGGTTTGACATGGTGGCAGACCTGAACATCATGAAAAGACCTTTTATTCTTTCCCTGAGAGCTACTGAAAATGAGCACAGATAAATACCCTGAACCAGGTCATAATCAACACACAACATTGATGCAAATATGTGGATTAGAGAATTATGACAATTACATTAAATAACCTCAAAAGAAGAGAGTCACATGTCTCATAAACAAGCACAAGCTATCCCAGACCAATGCAAGAATATACTAATAAAGTAATATTTGATCATCTAACTAATGGAGCTGTTATCTCCCCATACCAATGCAGGGCTTAGAGCTTTTAGGCTGTTAAATATTTTGTCTCAATGTTTAAAAGCAAGTAGCACCCAACAGACCTTTCCTTTTCTCAGTAGCATTCCCTTGAAATGTGGTTGTTTATTTCAGACCTCGAAGGCTGGATTAACAGCAGAGATTGTTTGCTTTAAATTATATACACAAATTTTGTTGTCGTTGCTTCTGCCACTAACAGGCTATTTAATAAGTGTCAAAGTGGCAAAGCTTACTGACTGCAAAAGTGAAAGGGTCAAATCTGTGCATCCAGAAATAATACAGAGATTTTCCTCTCTTTTCATGAAATGTACTTGCAGCAGGCAGTGTTAAAGTGCTTCCAACTTTCATAGCAACCAGGAGAAGCAGCTCATGAGTCAGCCCAAGGAGGAAATATGTCATTAGCCAGAGAGTTTTCAACATATGCAAAACTGTCGACGTGTCTATGGCATCCAGGGAGGAATTTTTATGATATTGGTTGTAGTCAGCAGTTTATTGCCACAGTCGTGGGTGTGGGCAAGTGTCTCAATGGCTGAGGCTGTGATTGCCCCCAACATCACTGAGTGTTTCACACCATGGCTCTCATGCTCCTTCTTTTCAAGACAGGAAACAGACGAGACATATTTGGTTTTGATAGCTGCGGGAAAGACCCGAGTGCTCATGGTTGTACCTTGAGTTCCTCTTCATCCTTCATATCGTGTTCATCGTGCCAAGGAAGGGGTAGGGCTCTTATCTCAGCTTTCTGCAGTTCCAGCCCTTCTGCAACTGAATGAAAACAAACAGAAAGAAAAAAAATAATCAGCTCTGTAGGTTTTCTTGCCTGTGTAAATTATGCATCACACTCATTATAGGAAAAAGGAAGACGCAGATTTGGAAATCAGTTGTGAGTTTCTCCATATTTCTTACAGTTATGCCAGTGTTACAGCTGCATACACAGGGGACTTTTCTTTTTTCATGCAGCTTTACACCAAAATAAAGGCCTCAGTTGTTCTAGTTGGTGATTAGGCTCAATATTATGCCTCTGGGAATGGGAGGCACGGGCACTCAGAGGAACAGAAAACTTAATGAGTTCTTTATATGAGAAGAAAAAATTTTTCAAAATGTTTTCCAGAGCTCACAGGAGAGATTCAGAGGCTATTCCCTCTTCAGGAAGATGCAGCTCTTCCAGGTGAAAAAATTAACCCTCGTCTGCCCCCAGTAGCCCCTCACCGAAGGTTTCCTTGCCCTCCAAGCCCAAGCTGAGCTGTGGTGCACAAATTTTCTCACTGGTTAAATGCTGAGCCCTTTACTAGATCTTTTTACTAATATGGTTCATATTGGCATGTCTCCCTGCAGGACTTGGATTCACAGTGGGATCACTCAGAAACCAATCTTTCGTTGCACAACAAGCTCCAGAAAGACAAGGAGTACAAACAGTGAATTTGCATATGCTTACCTTTGAGGGGAGCTTGCAAGTGGTTCATGAACCAGGCTTAGGACACCCCTATTTTGGGTAGGTTCCTGTGTCCAGGTCTGACCTGAGAACATCACACCTCGAAATGGAAACTGCTGCACTGCGAGCTGAAAGGGCAGAGACCATGTCCAGCAGGAGCAAAAGGGAAATGTTGTTATCTGAAAATATCTTTAGGTATTTGTAATTTTTATGGCTTGTGGTCTTTTTTTCAAATTTGAATATTTTATGTAATGGAACAAGTAAAACCAAAACCCAATCTCAAGACTGCTTGCAGAGCAGCTGGGCAGTGGGCAGAGCATCAGTGAGGCTGGGCAGCGAATCCCCACTGTCACCCTGAGGCAGAGCCTCCTGCAGCTTCTGAGTCTGTGACATCAACCTGGGGAGAACACTGCAGAGGCCACAAATTCTGACACCAGATGGCCCAGCACTGGAGCTGTGGGCCAACCTCAGCTCCCAGCAGCCCAGCTGGCAGCATGCCCTGCATCCCTGGACTCTGCCATCCCTGCTGCTGGGACACAGCACTGGGACTTCCAGCACTGAGGCATCTTGTTGGATAGGGCCACTCAGGGGTGCCTGTTGAAGATGACCCCACTGCCAGCTCTATCATCACCAAGCATCACTGTCTTATTTTATCCCAGATCAGATGTCTCGAATTCAGTGAGCTGTGGTTGGTGCTTCCAAGTGCACTGAAGCCTGCACATAAAAGAGGACAGGCAAAATAATAGTGTTGCAAAATGCTGAGAATAGTAGAAGTGGTCACCCCGTGTATCTGGGCTGCTAAGAAAGCTCTTTCGATTAAATGAAACACAGAGCACAAGAAAAATGCTCACGTCATACATGATGGTGTCTCCTGGGCTGCCTTATGCTGAGATGAAAAAGAAAAAATTACCCATGCAAAGCCTACATCATCCATAATCTGCAATGCATTTGTACAGAGGGGGCCATCCTTAGCCCAAACCATGTGTGTCTGGCTTTAAAACCAGCATTAGCAGGGCTCAACCAGCCTCTGTGCCATCCTGCATGTCCTGGATTCAGCGCTTCTCTCTGGGATTCAGAATTTCTTTCCATGTTCACTGCTGAATCACTCTCGCATCAGCAGCATCACCGTGGGCAGTGTTCCCTCTACAAGGCATGCAAGTGGCAAGAACCCCCAGCCCAGCTCTGCTCGAGCTGGCAGTGGCACAAGATCTCTTTTAGGATAGTGTGTCAGACTTCTGCAGGGCCTTGTGCAACTTTTTTTTTTTTTAATCCCAAATTAAAACTTAAGCTTCAAAGGCATAGGTCTAAGGGGGTCTCTTCATGCAGACACTGTATTTCCTGGAACAGATCCTTTAATTTTGTGGTGAGACGGAGTTGAAGACATTTGTATTCAAATCCTTATTTAGGCTCTAATGCTCTTTAGTATTGGATATAGGGATTTTAGACTGGAAATGGCACTCTTGACTTTACTATCACCCCAAACAGACAGACAATCAAATTTTAAGCTGCTATTTCTTTTCCAGCCTTCTTATGCCATTTCCAACACTCTCCCAGAAACTGTAATTATTCTGCCACATCTACTCTACTAATAAAATTTATTCTGCTCTGTGTTTTTCCCCCTATTTTCTTCTTACGTCTTTCACCATCAAATAAAATCAGGGTTTTCATTTGTAAAGTGGTTATCAGCAGCTCAGCTTTTACTTACAGTTCTTTGAACAGGCTACAGGGATTCTAGATGGGTAGAAATGTGGTGTAATGACATATTCTGTGGTGCAACCTCCAAGCATCACTTTGTATGGGATGTCCCGCAATGCCCTGTCCTTCTAGGAGGGTTTTAGTCCTCCAGTAGTGGTTTTAATAATTTTGCTGGATGTTAAAAATAGATATGATCTAGTTGATGTTCTTGTCACTCATGCCAGCTCACCTCCCTGTTTGCAATCCTCTCTGAACACAACAGGACTTCATAATCTCCAGGGGCCCTTGTAGAATAGCCCTCACTTAGGGATCTCTCAGAGCTTTACAAGCTCATGTTTTGCTGTTGTGTGCCAGCTAAAAACCACAGAGATGTACATCACTGGGATAGTGCAGAGGCAAGGGCAGATGGGACCTGCAGGTTCCAGTCCAGGTGCATGACCACATCCCTCTAAAACCGCATCCACTGAAACTTCCTTTGAAGGATTGATTGCATTTAAATTCTCTACTACACACAAAAAAATATTATGAATATACACAAAAGATTTGTTTGAATCTCAGTTCATTCCCAGATTTGCTCATCTTTTTGCTGGTGGCTTTAGGAGCAGCAGCTTTTGTAGCTGTCCAGCAAAGGATTCATTCTCGTGTACCTTCTGTGCAGGTGTGTCTGTGGTGTCCATAGGGTGCCATGCACCCCCTCTGCTCCCAAGTGTGCAGGTTTTTTTCCTCAAATGTTCACACCTGAGCTGGGATGCACAGGCAGAACCTTCCACTCACAAACACTTAACTCCCAGGCCTGGGGCCCAGGAGAGTTTTGTTTCATAGGCTGATATTGCTCCTGCTCTTGAAAAAAACCCAACATCCCACATTAAGGACAAGCTGGAAACTTGCTGTACGTTCCCTTCAGAGAAAACAGGGACTCCAAAAAACTGGGGTGGGGGGGGGGGCAGAAATCAAAGGTCATTCCCAAAAGGCAACAAGACAACATTCATTTATATAGTCTCATATTCCCTCACCTAAAGGTAATAACAATAACAAAATAAATAGAATTTATTTTGTTAATTTTGTTAATAATAACAAAAATAAATAGAATGGACACACCCATTCATTGCTTTTAGATCTAGGGAATACTGCAAAGAAGTAGTTAGGAATATTATTTCATATTCTCAGCATGTGGATGCACATTGCTTTGGGAGCAGCTTTCCATGAGCACTCCAGCTAACAAGCTTGCTGCAGAACTATCTTTGAGCAGCAAATTTTTAAAAGAAGCCCTAGAAAATATTCCCCAGAAGACAATTTGGAATAACTAATCATAAAAAACTTTACACTGGACACCTAATTTAGGAGCTCTGATCATCCTTTCAGCAGCTAGAAATATAACACTTCATCTGCTCGTCCAGTCAGAGCAGATGTGTGTGACTCACAGCCACCCGCTCGGGAAGTTATCGCTCCCTGAAAGTCAGAGCTGGATCGCAGAAAAATCATAAGTGAGAAAGAGTGTGTGTGTGTCAGGGGGTTCCCCTGAGTACATTATTTACTGTGAATTACTTAGACAGCCCTAGATTTTATTTGATAATTTTTCCCTTGATGTGTCCCATATAAAGGAAACGTTAACATTAACCAAAGCTAATCCATGGCGCGGCTGGGAAGGGGATTATTTTGCCAATGATTAGTTTCTTTAAACATGGAATTGTGATCAAAGCAATATGGTTCTGATTTTTTCTGTATTTTTTAGCTTTGTAGTATGGTTCTTCTTAATAGTAAGTTACTGCTATAAGCATGCTGTGAATTTCCAATATAGCAAAGCTTTAATAATTTGCAGCCATAATTGTTCCTGCTTCAGTCTCCAATTCAATTTGGTGTGGAATTCCCATCTCCCAACACAAAGCTTAACTCAATGGTATCTGTGCGAGACAGACTATGAAACTAGTCTGGTATAATGGACTTCATTAAAGGATAGGCAAATTATTTTCATCTGTAATCTATTTTAAATGGAAAAAAGGGCTTTTGAATAAATATTTTTCCTTCAAAAGTTATTAATTTCTGTGGGAAAAGAGGGATGGTTATTGTTGCTAATTTTTCCTTTGTTTTCATAAAGGGTTTGAAAATTATTTTCTGGTAGAGTTATTTCTTTGGTTGAAAAAACAAATATTTAAGCCAGGAATGGAAACAACATCTTTTTATTTTCCTGAAGAGTCAAACTGTGTAAGGAGCTTTCACTTTTTTGCCTACCCATCCTCTTCTGATGATAAAATCCGAGCTTGTGGGCTGACATGATGAGCACCACCCACCTCCAGACCTTGGTGGCCATTCCTCTGCCTACATGCAGATTTGGTTGCCTCAAACCATTTTTCAGTCAAGCCTGAAAGTAGCAAGCTATGCAATGTTAGCACAGATATCTGTTTTTAAGAGGCAGCCTGCACTGGCACAAGACCATTAACCCTAACATGAACATGCACAGTCTAATAACAGGTTGGTGGAGAGTCTTATTCAGGCCCTGCACATGGCAGTAAATTACTCCCTTGATGAATAAAAGCCATTACTTAGTATTTAGCATCGTAGCAAGAAGCCTCTTCGGCCTGTTCCTAACAGAGATGTTACAGTTAATTTAGTGTAAAATTATCACCTGCTGTACAATAAAACAACAAACTGCAGTCAAATAATCTCTTAATAAATGAAAATGTGTAATAAACTGTGTCAGCACCGCAGAGACTTGGCAAGGCTGAATACCCTAAAGGTACCAATCCAAACAAATTCACCATACAATATATGGCCTGTGTCATTTCTGGTTCTTATCAGAGATGATTCATCTGGGAATCCTTGGCTCTGAGTTTTACCTCTAAAGGCCAGGCAGTTATTACAATGATATAATTTCTGCCACATTAATTAAATATAATACCTGAAAGCCCCTTTATAGGGATCTATAAATTCGTTGTAAACACATGCTGTGGATGAGCATATGTAATCTACCAAATGTAATAAACATTCAGTCAACTTCCTCTCCTTGCAGAGCAAAGAGAGGTCAAATGATCACCGTGCCAAAAAAAACAGACACCCAAAGGTACACCTAATGTTTCTTCTGTCACTCATTATGATAAATACATATATACACATATATAAATACATATATACACAGACAGAGACCCATGTCTGACAGAGAGGAGAAGGCAGAGGGAGCATGAGTCCGGGGAGCATGAGTCTGTGGCAGCAGCCAGGAGGACATGTGGTTGCTCTTGCTGGCTGCAGGCTGTCAGCTCCAACGTTGGTGTACAGGGATAATAAAGCCCCCCCCCCAAGTCACTGCAGTTCAGCACAGTCCTTCTGCTGGCCTCTTCCGACTGCAGGAGAGCCGTGGATATGTTATGTGTTGCTAAAAATCTATCTTTGCTGGGGATTCAAATGCTCCTTTTACCCAGTATAAAACAAAAAACAAAACAAAAAACAAAAACAAAATCCAAACAACAAAAAACCCCACACGCACACACCAAAAAAAAAAAAAAAAAAAAAAAAAAAAAAAGAGGGGAAACCAAAAAGGAAAGGAAAGCCAAGGGAACAAAAGCTGGGCAACACTTTTTG